TCAGTAGAAATCCTGGACCAGAAATTGGAAGAAGGAAACAAATTTGTTGATAGTGGATGAAATAAGATAAATATACATTATTCAGACTATTGTCCTCATCTTTGTCACCATATTTATTACGTTTCGGCTGTTGTACACTCCGTTATCATTGCATGTTTTTACCAGAGCTCATATTGCAACTTTGTTATTATCACTTTTCTCTGGCATTCCTTACTACTGGTTCCCATATTGTATTCATTTCTATGCTTGGTCAGCTCAGGAGATTTTTGTGGCCTAGCATATGTGCTGATTCCTTAAGTTTACGAATTTTCCAATGGTGTTCCTTGTCTATGATCTCAACTTGATCCCTTCTCTCTCCATATGTGGTCAGCCACGCCTGATTTTTCCACTTCTCCTCGTGTTACAGCTTTCTGGTGTCCTTGAAGCCTTACCTTGAGCTCTGGTAAAAACATGCAATGATAACAGCAAAAAATTGCAATATGAGCACTGGTAAAAATGGTTGCTGAAGACATTAGGTTTATAATACCCAGAGTTTCATATACAGATGTCCACATGGCACAGCGGATAAAGGCGTTGGCTAGATCCAGTGACAGAACCCAAAGAGTGTGAGTTCAATACCCAGCTAAGGCAGTGGAAAAATTAACAGGAGATAACTGACATCCATTAAATATGGCACATGGAACTAGAACAGTCTACCCCAGTGAGCGAAATAAAGGGTTCAGTTCGACATTCCAACCACAAGGCCGGACCATACAACGGCCAAAATGTTGTAATAAACATGAGGACAATAGTCCAAATAATGTACATAATACCTCATCTCAGAAATTTTAAGATTAATATATTTTCAAGTACAGATATCAGTGAGAAATGCCTTTTCAGCCAAAACAGGGTTGATGTGCTGATAGATGTCACAGTGTTTGTTTGAAAACTGGCAAGCTGATGACTGAGTAACCAGACAACCCCTTTTCTGTGGCAATCATTTGCAATATTTAAAATTATTATTTTGGATTTCTGGCTAAGAATCCTTGACTGGTAGGAGAGCCATTTGATTAATTTACAGAAACCTGGAGATAATGAAATGTGAACTATGGGCATTGTAAAGTGTCATTTTCTGGGGCCTGACTAGGTAAAATGAAGTCATTAATCATTGTTATTGAGAAAAATATTACTTAGTAGTCATTTTCCAGGAGGGGAGGAAATGGATCAGGTTGAAATACACCTGCATTTCACTAAACACACAGTGAATACAGAGAGAACTCTCAGACACTATGTCATAGAAGTTACATTCTGTAGTTTTACTTTTCACACTGAATTTTGTTGAGTTTACAGACTGCATTTGGTTCGTTTATCAAATAACTTTTCTCCCCCTCAAGTTAACCACTAACAATTTGACCATAACCAGTAACCAGAAGCAAAGGGTTACCACGCTTTGTGGGAGATCGATTTCATTCATTTTCTACCGGGACATGACAGAAATTGAGTCCAACTACTGGCAATTGCTGTCAAACAGACAGGTGGAACTGGGAAAGGCTTAATCTATGAAAAAAAAAAAAAAAAAAAAAAAATAGAAAAATCTACCAGACTTGGTCCCAGGTATGACAGCTGATAGTGACAAAATTGCCCGGATCCACCCGTGCAGCAAACCAACCAATTGTAATTTAGTGCTGTGACCACAGCCCAAATACCATGTTATATATGGTACTGTGTCACCAGGATAATATCCTATCTAGTAATTCCGGGATGCAAGCAAGGACATCAGGAAAAGGACCCAGCCCATCATTATAGATACAAAATTTTGAATTGCTTCAGCCTGTCCCAGTGGAAACAAAAGAAAAAAAAATTACTGGGCATTTTAGTCATCTGAATACATAAGGCAGGAAGCTGATTTAACTAGGAGGAAGGTCTGCTCAGATCAATAATCAAAACATTGGGGAGTAAATCTCTGGTCAAATTTCTTACAGCCCCTCCCCTCATAAAATATTTTAAAAACTCATCCCTTATGTTGGGTATGTTAAAATAAAACAAAAATGATTATAAAGAATTAAGATAAGTATTATTGGCAGAAAAAAGTTATACATCATTTTTAACTTTGAAATAATAGCAAGAGAAATTTTAAATTTAACAGGCATCTAACATTGTAAAGAAATTAAGTGGTCAATTAAGATTAAAAAAACCCTTTTGCAACAGCATCTTTGGTAGGTTTAACAAGAGTTAAGTTTACACAATTATGCTCTAACCTATATCTGCATTCACAAATCTTATAGAATGACTGAATAAGAAATTGATTAGAAGTGATGAATACTATAAAGTTTGATTTCTGTCCCCCTTGTCTCATAAATAAATTGATTTACACACACTATTTGAGACTTTAGTGGACTTATTAGCAAGAGATGATTGCAATTATGCCATTCATTAAAACTCCTAAATTCATTTTTGGCCATAAGATGGATTTACGTGTGCATTGATAAAATCTTTTGTACAGCATAAAACACTTCATAATAAATTGCATTTTCAAAAGTGATATTTTGACTTACCTAACCTGGTAATTTGTGACCTACCAACATCAATTTGGATTCCTTTATAATACATATTAGTATTTTCTTTTATGATACATAGTACTTTTACTGTCTCTTACTAACTCATAACATAAAGAGAGAGTCTAGCTCATAATATAATATTCATGACTTTCAAAGACAAGTGAATTTCAAGTTATTTTTAGTATTGTTTCAATAGAGAGAAAAAAAAAATGGAATAACATCAAGATGACTTAGCATATTGTAAATGGTGACTTATTTTTGGCTATTTTGCAATGATTAAACTAAGCTAATCAGTGATGTTTATATTTGAGTATATATTTCATTACCCCCCACCCCACCATCTGTAGTTGAGAAAATAAAGAAGTTCATAAAGAATACCTGCCTGATACAATATTCACTAGAAAAAAACCAAAGAATACCTCATTAATTAAACAATATATTAGGCCTTGATAAGCTGTAAAAACATCCGTAAAGTGAAAATATTGTAAATAAAAGCTTCAACATTTGGAGAATTTGCTTTCAGCACTTTTTATTTGTTATTATCATGTCTTTTATGCAATGTACAGCAAACAATTATATATAAAAAAAACAAAAAAAAAAAAAAAAAAAAAACATTTATGCATAATAAGAGTAAGAAAGAAAAAAAAAAAAAACACATTTATGCATAATAAGAGTAAGAAAGAAAAAAAAAAAAAAGCCCAAACCCTTTTTTGAAATAAAAAATATTTTCAAAAGTTTAAAAAAAAAAAAAAAAAAGATGCTCTTCATTCAGTGAAAACTATCACACCAAATGAAATTCAATAGATTTTTTTATTCTTTTCACCACCACTAAATTCATATAAGTACAATACATTCATACACAAGTCAGTGTATTTACAACAAATCAAACAGCTAATCAACAAGTTCTAATTAACTGTTGGGAGATGGCTGCGGGCTACGGTATTTGCTCATTTCCTCTTCAATGTCATAAAAAGACATTGGATTGAAATTGAAGTACTCTTCACATTTATACTGACTGATGTCAAATGCCTCTTCATCGGCCAGCACTGTAGAAAAAAAGAAGACAAAATATAAAATGTTCAAGCGAACAGATCAGATCAGCCAACTCGAGGTAGATAACTACTGGTCATTTGCCCTAAATGATTTAACTGCATATATATGATCTGAATCCCAATCAATTATATAAAAGGACAATCAGTGTATCACTTTGACACTAACTGAAATTTTAATTTACACCCTTCACAGTATATTGTTAGAATTAGAAGTAAAAGTTTGGATTATTTGGATTTTTAATTTAGTGAAGCAAAGTTATATCCAGAGTCAAAATTTCATGACCAAAGACTTTTTTTTTTTTTTTTTTTTTTTTTTTAAACTGGAGCATTTTTATTATCCCTGTGAACAAAAAAAAAAGAAGTGGTTTCCAAAATACGAAAAATGTAAATTTTACATAGCGAAAATAATTTTAAGTCAACTAATATTCTAAATAAAATGTATAGCATTTTGTCAAAGGAGAGGGGGAGAGGATATTTCATTATTATGTGGGTCCTATTAGCAAAATATTTGCAGAATAAAACCAACAATTCTATCAAATAAGTGTGGTCTAAAAGAAACATTACTGGTTGTATTCTATAATAATATAAATCTGTGGTCAAATACACACAGAATACTCAAAAGGCGTCTTTCAAGTTTTTAAGAAAGATTTATAAAACAGCAAAAAAAAAAAAAAAAAAAAAGATAGCTCTACTAGGCAAACTGAGAACAAACATTTTTAAGACTTTGTAAACCATAGTTTTATATTTTCTAAGAAAAAAAAAAAAAAAAAAAAAATCAGACTATTTAATGTTATATTTTTCTCTGATTAAAATTGTGCCTTCTGTAACAAATATTTTTTAAGCAATTGAACAGAGGTAAAATTTTAAAGAGATGTCTCATACAAAAATATTTCACAAGTTTAAGGCCAAAATTCTTATCCAGATAACAGATTCCATCAGGTTTAAGTTACATATGATCAGGAAACAAATTTTACAAAAAAAATTGGTTCCTTGCCCAAAATACAAAACTGATAGGGCAACAGAAAATATCTCGGGTTTTTCATAGCTATGAAAAATGTCAGTATGTATATACATTTCATTTAAAAATATCCTTTAAACTCAACCAAATTTTGGAAACTAATGAAAGTGACTGTTTGTCTTCATCTTCAACCTTAGTTACTCTTTCAGCAGCAACTTCTGTGGCAGCCTCACCTGCATCTTCAGTCTTGGGGGGAACATCAGACACAATTTCTGTTGAAGCCTTTTCTGCAGCTTGTTCAGGAACTGAAACTGTTTCAATGTCAAAATCTTCTGATGATGGTGTGGCAACTTTGGTGGGTATATCAGCAGCTACAGCTGCCACATCTGGTGCAGCGGCAGCTTCTTCGGTAGTAGCCTCCACTGCCGCATCTGGTGCAGCGGCAGCTTCTTGATGGCAGCCTCCTGCATCAGGTGCAGCGGCAGCTTCTTCGGTAGTAGCCTCCACTGCCACATCAGGTGCAGCGGCAGCTTCTTCGGTAGTAGCCTCCACTGCCATATCTGGTGCAGCAGCAGATTCTTCAGTAGCAACCTTCAAAGCAGCAGCCTCTGCCACATCTACCTCTCTGCCGCAGTGAGCCTCCCTCCTCCCCCACGGCCTCAGGGCGGCAACCTCCTCAGGCCCCCGCGACGCCTCAGGGCGGCAACCTCCTCAGGCGCAACCTCCTCAAAGCCCGCAGGCCTCAGAAGCGGCAACCTCCTCCCCTCAGCCCACGGCCTCAGGCGGCAACCTCCTCAGCCCGCGGCCTCAGGGGCGACAACCTCCTCAGCAGCCCACGGCCTCCCAGGGGCCGGCAACCTCCTCAGAACCCACGGCCTCAGGGCGCAACCTCCTCCAGCCCCACACGGCCTCAGGGGCGGCAACCTCCTCAGCGGCCACGGCCTCAGGGGCGGCAACCTCCTCAGCGGCCACGGCCTCCTCCTCAAGCCTCCCCCCACGGCCTCCAGGGGCGGCAACCTCCTCAGCCACCCCTGGCCTCAGGGGCAACCTCCTCAAGCGACCCCGGCCTCAGGGCAGCAACCTCCTCGGGGACGGCCTCAGGCCTCCTCCAGCCCCACCTCCTCCCGCAACCTCCTCCACCTCCCAGCCCACAGCCTCAGGCAGCAACCTCCTCAGTGGCCACGGCCTCAGGGCGGCAACCTCCTCCCTCAGTGACGACAACCTCAGCTGACCCCACGGCCTCAGGGCAACAACCTCCTCAGGGACAGTGGCCTCTGCAGCAACCTCCTCAGCAGCCCACCTCACCTCCTCGACAGCCACCTCAGCGACCCTCGGGCAACCTCCTCAGCAGCCACGACCTCAGGGGCAGCAACCTCCTCAGCGGCCACGGCCTCTGCAGCAAACTCATCCGCAGTCACTACCTCAGGAGGGTCAACCTCCTCAGTGGCCGCGACCTCGGGGGGCCACCTCCTCAGCCGCGCGGGCCTGGGGCAGCCACCTCCTCCTCAGCCCGTCCATGACCTGGGGCAGCCACCTCCTCCTCGGCCCCGCGACCTCGGGGCAGCCACGACCTCGGGGCAGCCACCTCCTCGGGGGCAGCCACCTCCTCAGCGGCCGCGACCTCGGGGGCAGCCACCACCTCAGGAGCGGCAACCTCCTCTGCAGCCACCACCTCAGGAGCGGCAACCTCCTCTGCTGCCACCACCTCAGGAGCGGCAACCTCCTCTGCAGCCACCACCTCAGGAGCGGCAACCTCCTCTGCAGCAGCAGTTTCTGGGGCAACTGGGAAAACTTCCTCTACTGCTACCTTTTGAACCACAATTTCCTCTGGTATTACCTCAGAAGCAGTCTCTTCTGAGACTGGAACATCTAATTCTGTCACCTCTTCAGCAATTACATCTGAAGCAGCCTCAGGAGCAACAGAAGCTGCTACTACTACCAGTTCTGGTGCAAGTAATTCCTCAGTTCCAGTGAGTGCAGCTAATTCCTCTTCAGCAGTTTTGGTGGGTGCAACTAATTCCTCAGCCACTGCAGAAACAGCCTCTTCTCCTACTGGCGCAACTACTTCTTCAAATGTGGGTTCAGCTGCAGCCACTTGTGCAGAAACTTCAACCCCTGACTCTACTCCAGAAGCACCAACCTTTGCTGTAACTGCTTCAATTTCTGTATCTTTGGTAACAACTTCAATATCAGAATCTGATTCAGATTCTGATTCAGATGAAGTTTCAGCAGCAGAAACTGCAGCTGCAGTTGTCACATCGTCAGAAACAACTACTTCTGAGATAAACTCCACTTCAGCTGCTACTGCTTCAACTGCAGATTCAACTTCAGTAGTAACAGTGTCGGTAACAACCTCAGTGGCAGCAGCTGCTTCACCTATAACTTTACCAGCAGCATCATCTACTGCATCAACTACAGCATCTATTTCAGGTGCCACCGTTTTTGCTGCATCTACAATTACTTCACCAGCGGCGTTCACATCTGCTGCCACAGTTTTGGCTGCATCTGCCACAGTTTCAGCAGCGGGATCCATGTCTGCTGCCACTGTTTCAGAAGCATCAGCAATTGTTTCAGCGGCAGCAGACACTTCTGCTGCAATTGTTTTGGAAGCATCTTCAACTCCCTCAGCAGCAACATCCACATCTGCTGCTATAGTTTTAGCGGTGTGTGCAATTACTTCAGCAGCAGCATCAATATCTGCTACTATGGTTGTAGCAGTGTCAGCCACGCTGTCAGCAGTGGCCTCTACATTTTCAGTAACAGTTTCAACAACCTCTTCAACTTTAACAGCTATGGTTTCACCAATTTTTGTACCCGCAGCAGTGGAAGGCATATTGGCTTTCAATGGAGATCCTGTCTCTGAAGCTGATGAGGGTGGCTCAGTTGAATACCTCTTTTGGCTAACAACATAGCAGCTCCCAACTAAAAAAGAAAGAAAAAGATAGAGTTCAAGGTGTTATTGGAAATAAACATTTATTTTATTAATCAGATAAAAGCACATTTTGTCACAATTTCATTCTAACATTAATTACCTAAACTAAAAACTAGGTAATTTCTGGGTTGAAGAGTTTGTCCAATATTGGGAAAGGGATTTGTCTAAGGTTAATGTCTGTATGTGTTTAATATAAATTTATTGGGACTTGTAGGATTTTTTTGTCATCAACTCAAAATCCATTGGCTATTAATCAGATTAATATTCTTTCATCAATATATTTGCAATTAAAAAACTTTTTTTCTTTCAGATATTTGCTGCTTAATCTATTAACACAATATTTTTGTTATTATCAGAAAAATAAAGTGTTCACAACAAAGTAGTTTGCCATGTGTTCTATTCATTATTTAAAACAGGATTATTAATACAATTTAAAATTTTTAAATCTATTTAATACCAGATTTATTTGGGGCAAGGTTGGAGAATCATCAATTTTTAAGCACTACATATCCTACATCTAATTATTTTCCAATTAGAAATTTAATAAAAACTGATAATTTGACAATGATTTTGATACTTAAAAGAATATTAATTATTTTAATAAACACAATCATTTTTAAATACAGTTTAAATTCACTGACATCTTACTGAAATAGGTTTAAATATAATATATTTACAAATTTGTTTAATTTTACCAGTTTGCCAGTTCGCAGTGAAATCTAACAATTAAATTCAACTTGGAAGCTAGGAGTTTGTCTATTTGTGTTTCATAATTGGGAGAAATAAGATTCTAAAATTAATTTTTTTTTTTTTTAACATGCAACAGAATATTTCAATAAATTAAAAATGGGAACTTTTTTCTCAGTTTAGTAATGTCTTTTCTCAGGATTTTAACCAGTTTAAGTTAAAAAAAAAAAAAAAATTAATAAAAACAGAAAAATTCAACTTGTATAAGAAAATATTTTTGTGATTTTCATTTTGAATCATCTTAAATTTTCTTATGTTAAAAGTAATTTAAATAATTTGTATCTTTAAAATAACATTTCTGTTATCACAAAGAAAAACATTATGGAATTCTATATAAATTTATCATCCTAATAAACAATCTAAACTCTTTATGCACTTTTATAACATTTATACATTCAGAAAAGCACAAATATGATGAAACATCAATATTTTTTGCTTAAAATTAAATACATTTTTTGTTAAAGTCTTTGAAAACTGACCCATGATTAAAAATAGAAATTAATTTTGTAAGTGAGAAAAAAGTGGTTAATTAGAAAAAAAAAAAAAAAAAAAAAAAAAAAAAAAAAAAAAAAAAAAAATGCACAAGCAAAGAAAAGTACACTCAACATACATTATATATTCCAAGCTTCGTTAATGCAATTGAACACCTTTATTTTGTTGACATCAACACAGTTTTTGCCAATTCATTCTACAACTTTCATTAAAAGAGATCCCACTCATAATCTTTGCAACTTATGCACCTAAGAAGGCTGGAAAATAGGTCAGCCAAAATTTGATAATGACAAAACAAAGGAGGAGTTCAATTATTCAAATAACACTTTAGTTGCTCACGTCTCTTCTCAAAGTTAGAAATATGGTCTTATGTAAATAAAAATATATAAATAACAGGATTCAAACAACAAGTGGTTAACATTATTACTCCAACTCTAAGTACTGGGATCCATGCATAGATTGTAGTTAAAAATTTAATGGAAAACAGGGTATTAAATAAAAAAATATTACATTTTGACACAAACACACACAATATATGATTATTAAAAAGATGTAAATAAAACTTGCAATTCAATAAGCATCCAAAAATATATCAGGTTATCCCAGAAGCAATGCCTAAAATCTAATCAATTGAATTATATTTTTGCTATTCTAAAGTACCTAAATGATGATAATATATGCCATTACTGTATATCATCACAATACAAATCAACTAATTTGACCCTCCAAAAAACAGATGTCTGTGGAGAACAGAAGACATGTAATGTTCCAGGAGTTTAGAAATGATAGCAGAAGCAACCTAAAATATTCATAGTGTTTAGTGATTCTAAATGAAAAACTGCCAAAGATGTTTTCAAAAGGTGATTTCAGCTTAACAGTTGTCTTGAGTTTAACAATTGCCTTTTGTAATAAAAAAAAATAGACAAATTTGCTGTCTGCAGTGACTAATAAGAATAAACTCAAAAACTAAATTCAAAACCTTCAACAGTTCACCATTATCCACACTAACTTAGGAAAGTGCCTAAACTTAGATAATAGATCCCATGATTTCACAGAAGATAATTATTAAACAAGAGTTGTTAATGTATCTCGCCATATCAGGATAGAATAATGATTGGTGAGGAAGTAGAGGTAAACAAATTAAAGCAAAACCCAAAATGGATTCCTATCAAAGGAAAGTTTTATTAGATTTATTATAAAAACTGCAGTCTGAAGTTATGTAGATTAAACTAATATTAATTTAAGGACTCTGAAATCTAATAAAAACTATTTTTTTTTCTCATAATATTTATTGAAACATAATAGAAAGGGTCTAAAAAATGCTGAAAAACTGAAAATAGCAAAGGTATTGAGTGAGGAAATGTGAACATTAGAGATTTGCAGAGGTTATCAAATGATGAAAAGGGCTGTTGAAAATATAAGTTGAGAACTAGAAGCAAAAGAAAAGATTTTAAGAATTTATCTACATAAGAGGAATGTAAACTAAAGTGAATTATAGTGAAACAACCACTTTTAACCAGTGTTCAGATCTTTCAAGAGGCTGGAATTGAGGGAGTCAAAAAGGACAAAAGGTGCAAAATACTCTGCAAATTGGGATCTGACAAAAAATCTCCTAGGCAAACTCATCTTAGTAAATATTTTAAAGTCTCACAATTTGACCAAAAGTACATGAAAAGTAATTTTAACAAACAAATCTCAAGTGACACTCAATGGACCAGATGGATGAGCTAAAGGATGGATTTTATTCAATGCGGATGTGCCTGTGGCTAAAAGGAGGCAGCAAGGAGATGGCGGTGTGATGACATGGGTTGAAATTGTCAACTAAACCATTATTGGAACCATTTAAAATTGATGAAGGAGTTAAACTGAACAGTGTTAACTATTGCAATTTCATGGACAAAACTTCCTTTGTATGGTACAAGTCCCAGCCTCAGAGTTTCAAAATGAAGGGTGTATTTATGCATGACAATACTCCTTCTCAAGTAGCTAAGGTTACCAGTTATTTTTTTTTTTTTTGAAATGTAAAAGCTTTACGGGAAAGATA